CTAATTATATCGAATTTTCTACCTACTTATTTTATATGAAAAGTTTTTCTACTTTCTTAATAGGTTTTTTAAAATTTTTGGATTTTAACAAAAAAATTATTAATGATTTCAAATTTTTATCGAGTAATACATAAACATTATAAATTAATAATGATTAAATTAAATTTTATAAATTTCAATCGATGAAGGTCGAAATGAATAAATATATGGAAGATTCAATATGTATAACAGAGTAAGAGGAAATTTCATGACTAAGAAAAATTTCGCGTTCTCTTTGTTGCGTTCGTATCTCCATTCACGTGTTGATCACGTGATGAGTAATTAAATTAATAACAACACCAGCATGAAGAGAGTTTTCCGACTTTCTTATTCCCAGAGTTGTCTCGCGACCTCTTTTCAAGTGAAAAAGATTTTACAACCTATCTAACTGTTTACAACTGTGAAAATATCGTCGTTTAGTTCTAGTATGTTTATTTATTTGTTTATAAGCATATATTATGTTAATTTATGACGTTGTAATTCCTACTTTTCCGCGATCCCTTATCTCGAAAATAATTAATTACGTTTCGACATTATGGTATGCAGCAACGATTGGAACGATCGAACGTGGCAAAACCTTTCTAAATACTGTTTCTGTACACTGTTTCTCAGAAATATTTTAAGACAAATCATTACCGATTTAATTTTTTAAACATACTACTTTTCTCACTCGAAAAAGTGATCCACCAGTAATTCAATATTTATTTACTCAAAAATAAAAATCATATAAATTTCAAAAAATCATTCGTAGATTAATTACCAATAATACGATAACCTATACCTCCTTCAACTATTCGATCAAAAATTTTCTATCGTAATAACAACACGAATAAATCGGAAGCGAATCTTGGATTAAAAAAATTCGAAAAAATTTGCAACGTGATCGCGAGATTGAAGAGATCAATTCTAATCAAGGAAAATTAAGGACAGAGAATTAAAAATTTAGAACTTACCGAGCATCTTACTGAGATCGGCGTTGTGGAGATCAGGATTCTCGTCGGCCAATTTTTTGCGCTCGACCTTTGCCCAGACCATGAACGCGTTCATCGGGCGACGTATCCGCTGCTCCTTCAGGCTCCTCTGGGCCGTGCTGCCTGGATGGCACATCTTCACTCCTGCGGGAATCGGCGAGATTCCTTGTTGATACTCCAACGACGGACCAGAAGCTAGCCAAGACATGTCCTCCAATCGTTGCTGCGCTGGTCCGCTCAACATTCCCGGTATCTGAAACAGATTTGTAATTCTCAATTTTCAACTCTTTCCAAATCTTTCGATTTTTCCACTCTCGAATCAATTCCCGATTTTCGATCTTTGATTCTCTTTGGATTTTGAGAAAAAATTATTAACGATTTGAAATTTTTGTCGAGTAATAGATAATCATAAACACTGATGAATTAATGATGATTGAATTAAATTTTATAAATTTCAATCGGTGAAGGTCGAAATGATTGATCTTCGGAATTTTAAATCTTTCGATTTTCTATTCCAAATTGTCGATTTCTCAATCTTCGATTTTCGATAAATCCTTGATTCTCAATAAATCTTTCAATTTTCAATTTTCTTGATTGTTGACCGATTTTCAATTCTCGATTCTCGATTCCTAACCGCTTATTTATTTTTTCGATGGTATCTCGATCATTGAATACAAGATCTTTGAATTATCAGTATTTAGTCAATTGATATTCCTGATACGATTCTCAATTCTCGTTTTCCAGGCCTCCTTTCCCAATTTTTTGAATTTTCATCTAATCCGAATAAAAATTTCAAATTCGAATTTCTTTTTTACTAAAATTTCCTTTAATTTCTTTATTAACAATTTAATTTAACGTTGCACGACAAATCAACGAAAATGATCCGATCCGATCGACATCTTGCCGATAATTACTCGCTTATTAACGAAAACGGGTGAAAGTCGATATTTTCCGATTCCATTAATACGTAATTACTGATAGATATGATCAGTGCGGCTAATGAACGCCGCACGGAAACATGTATACCCAGTATTGTTGCTGGGTAAAAGCTGGTGTTCTGAGGTTCTGCTGGGCTCTCGTTAGAATCAGCATTGTAATATAATGAAAATGAATAATGCGCGTGCACCAATCTCGAAAGAAATGTGAAAACTATTTATCGCGCGATAATGATGGCCGATAAGTGAATGAATACGATGATAAATATTGAATTCTCGTGGGATTATAGAATCTCGGTATTCCGGGTCAAAAATAGATCCGTACGTGAATTCCAAATTTCTTTAATTTTTTTAATCCATTTATGATCATTGCAATCGTTTAAAATATACCTCGAAATCAGGATACATCTTTGGAATCGATGTAAAAATTCCATTTTCCACATAAATTCAATTACTTTGATTTTTTATTTATTTTATTTTTTTTTTTATTTATTTTTTTTTATTTCCACACAAATTCAATTACTTTGATTTTTTATTTATTTTATTTTATTTTATTTTTTTATTTATTTTATTAAACTATATCTCGAAATGAGGATACATCTTTGGAATCAATGTAAAAATCCCATTTTCTATACAAATTCAATTACTTTGATTTTTTTTATTTATTGTTTTTATTTAAGTTAAGTTAATCAACAAATGTTAAATAAATTAATATTAGAACTTTTAATAAATTTATGTTACGTTTCAACGAGCTTCATTCAATAAATTTAAAATTTTCAATAATTTTATTATCAATCCAATCCTTGTCATACGCTTTAATAACTTGGATTCATTATAAAAACGTAAAAAATGAAAATAATCACGATATCAAGAAAGAAAGAAATAATATAATAATCCTATCTATTCTAATGTTAACAATTCCAGTGTGGATCCGGCTTAATCGAAGGAACGCTGTAAAACAGTGGAGAACGTAGGTGTGTGCGCGTTCGAGGTGAAACAGCGTTCCTCGAATGAAAAATATCCTAGAGTCTATGTTCAAAGGTGTTATAACCTGGATCGAGCGTACTGCGTGAACGTACCGAGATGATTTGGGTATCGATGGGCATGGAACTATCGTTGCCATCGATGTTCGACTCGATATCGTAGGCTCTCGACGTAGGTGTCGCATAAAGCGAGGAATGAAGTGCCAAGAGTCCAGGGGAACCGCCATAACTGCTCACTGGCGGTGGTGTCACCTCACCCCTGTCATAATTATCCAGCATCCTGAAAATTCAAATACGAAATTTATTAATCATCCGTGGATTTACAATAGGCGCGAATAGGGTTTGATATAACGATATAAAATAATATGTGCTTGTGTGGTGCGCAAACAGTGCCAGTTAATACGCATGCGCATGATCGATTCGAAATGAAATTAACCTTAAAATAACCAGAATCGGAGAAAATTTGAAACAAGTTGATACAATAATTAGAAAATTGAAATTGAGTGTTTCCTTAAATAAGATATTGAAAATATTAAGTCGATTTAATGTCTAAATCGTAGACAAATATTATTTATTATTTATGTTCATGAACTCGATGTAAATAAAATAATATTTATTTTTCGTTTAATTGAAATGCAATAAACGTTGAAAATAACTGTGTCGTATAATATCGATAATTGCTTATTTGAAATATATATATGAGTAAATTAAAGAAATAAATTTACAATAGAAATATAGAAAGATTGCAGTATTTACGATAATAAATTCTGAATTCGATTTATTTACTAATCTCGATGATTTAGTCATGTTTCTCATGTCATTATTAATTATAACTAATTGTTGACCCAAGAAGAAATGAGTACAAATACAAAGAAAATCGCGTAATTAAAACTTCATTCCAGAAAACGCGAGTCCATGTAGAATCGGCATCAAAAAAGGAATCGGAATATTCGTTCGACTTTCTTTATCGGGAAACAATGAGACCGATCTTTTCCACGGGTATCTCTCCTCATTAAAAATTGTACCTTTACCTTTTTCGATCTTTACTTTTAAACACTCTTGCCACGAAAAATAACTAAATTCGATTAAACACATCGCGTTTCATTCGTGGTTAAAAAAGGACAAAAATCTATCTCGACTAACATTGGCTAGTTAGTCGAAGGTAACCGAAAACAACCAATCGATTGTTAGATCGAAAATTTTAACTCAAGGCAGGTTTACACGTGTCAAAAGTTTTAAGATTAGAATGTGAATACATTTGAGAGTTTAAAATTATCAAAAATTATTTTCAATATAGTGAAAAATAATTATCGAAAACAATTCTCAAAAATATTAATTCTCATATTATACATAATATAAGTGTATAAGTATATCTACTCTCGGATAACCTCAAAGCACCGTTTGTCTGCGAAAAATATAAAAGAATTCTCGAGAGATTTATTCTCAAAACGTATTTGCATGTTTTTTTCACTTTATTTCTCCCGATATATATTTCGCGAAAAATGTTTTCGAAACGACAAGATTCTAACCTCACTTCTTACACTTTCCACATCTGACCACATGACCACACGTAGTAACGTTATATTTTCTGGTAATTAACTAAATTAACCACCTCAACTTTTTGCAACGAATATTCCGATTAAGAGCAAAAGTCAATTATTTCGATTGCTCGACGCGTACGTCTCGCCTTTGGATACGAATTCCGTGACGACGCGGACGGAATACCATTCTCGATACGTTCGATACCGGGACAAACGAGAGCGGTCCGGCTGAAGAAAACAAGAGATCGATTCGTACACGCGGCGGCATTCGTATATACGCGAGGTAATTGACTTTGGCATCTCTGTTTCGTCTTTGTGCCCGTCCACGATCGAAGAGGAACTCTGTGCCGTGGCGCAGCGGGGAGAGAAATCCCCGGTGGGTCGGTGCTCGTGCCTCTCTGCCCGGAGCCGATTGATCTGTCAACCCCGTTAGGAAAAGAGTTGATCGACATGAATGAACCATTCAAGGCCACTTAATGGAATTCCCACGATTGTCCTTAAGGCATAATGCGACCGTGCCGG